GGGGTGGGGGGGGAAATTTGGGGAAATGAAAGTCCACACATCTTAGAAGTTGATAAGGTTGAGAAATACTACATTAAGGGGAAGCTACAGGGAAGATATTCAAGAACTTTTTTCCATGCTGCAAAACTTACAATGGATAGAAGTTGTGGCTACCTAGAGTTTGTTTAAATATAAAGAAAAACTTCCGGAGGGTAAGATCTGTCCAGCAGTCCACCTATGGAGGTTGTAGGGTTTCCACCTTTGGGGGGGGATTTAAGAAGAGGCTAGACAGCCCCAATTACTGGCATTTTAGGCTACATTATGAGCCTTTTAAAAAGGTGATATTAGTATCTCAAGGATGGTGTCCTTAGTTTTCCTGCACATTGCAGAGGGGTGGCCTAGATCAGTGTTTCTCATCCTCTGCAACTTTAAGCTGTGTGGACTTCAACTCCCAGAATTCCTCAGCGGGCAGTTGAAGTCCACACAGCTTAAAATTGCCGAGGTTGAGAAACACTGGCATAGCCCATTTTGGGCTCCTGAGCTCTTGTCTCCAGCACCAGAAAAATGGCCACAAAGATGGGGAAAAGTGGGATTCTGGAGGAAACAACTCAGCACCAGCCCCTCATGATGTTTTCCAGCTGTTTGCTTTCTTTTCTGGAATACAAGCAAGGGACAACCTGTTGGGGTCATTTGGCCATGTGTCGAAGGCTCAAAGTGTTATGGTGTAGTGGTTCAGGTGCCAGACTAAAACCAGGGAGATTGCGAGTTCGAGTCCTCCCTTTGGCATGAAAGACAGCCGGGTGACTTGGGCAGTCCCTCTCTCTCAGCCCACCCCACCCCACCCCACCCCACCGGGTTGTTGTTGAGGGGAAAATAGGAGGAGGAAGCATTATGTACGACACCTTGAATTGTACAAAATAACCCTAAATTGAATAAATGAAGACAGGATTCAGAAAGCCACATCAAAGAATGGAAATGTAATATCTAGTTTAGTTATTAATTAGAATTAACCAGAGATTTTTACATGAGATCAAGGAGAAGGAAATCACACTTTGGCAAACTTTGATTAAAAAGAGCTCAGTCTTTGTGGAAAAGACGGGAATATCCATGGGAGACCCGATCAAGCAAGGGACGGGTGGCCCAAGGATAATTCTGCAAGCTCTTTGCGCTAAAAGGAAGACTCTACCTCCCCAACATGTGGGGTGACCAGGTGACTCCCTGGCTTTTACAGACTGGCCTTATAAAACATAGGACCCCCCCCCCATTTCAAACATTTGCTGTCCTTTCACAGGGAGTAGAGAAGTTCTAGCCACCCCTTGCTGCTGTTTTCAGCAGTCTTATCCGATTTTATTGCAGTTTGATTCCTGAGTAGCCTTTCCCCTGTATTTACCTATTGCTAGCTAGTTGGAGGACCTATAGAGCAAAGTGTGAAACATCTGGGGAGGGTCAAAAAAGTCAAAATGGTGGCTGCAACTGTGCAATCAAAGCCCTGATCCTTTGACATGTAATGCAACACGTGTAAAAAAGGCGGGGCAAGTCTTCAGTGGCACAGTTGTGGCTGCCATCTTGACCTTTTGCCCCCCCCAGATGCCCCCGTTCCCAGGATTAAAATCCTTAAAGCACATTTTTCAAGCAGGCGTCTCCCACCCTGCAGCCTCAGTCCTCTGGTTGCTCATCTCATCTGGAGGGAAAACTGGGCAAGCTGGAGTTGAGGCTAAGAAGCCAAAAATCAGGAAATCTTAACAGTTCAGATCTTTCCTCTGATAAATATTCACTCAGGATCTTCGAGGAGTCGCCGTCTGAAGTACGGAGAAAATAATGCTGGCCTACTTTGCAGGGTTGTTGTAAAGTTTACAAGAGAACTTTGACCTTGTGCCAAAACAGCCTTTCCACTGATGGCCTCCGCATGTGCTGGGACTACAGCTTCCACCATTCCCAGCTAGGTAAGGTAAGGTAAACTCTTCTTCAAGTTGACCTAGACCTCTGGTGACTTCACCGGCCCAGCCAGATAATTTTTGGGGGTGGCAATACAGAAGTGGCTTGCTCTAGCTTTCTTCCAGAATGTTTTTTGACGTCCCACTCTAGCCTACAGCCTTAGGGTTTCCTGGTGGTCTCCCATCCATGAACTATACAAGATAAAATGGTGAAGGCTCCCTGGCGATATTCTGGGTTCGTCCCTGTAGCTTTTGTGGCAGCAATTCAGAGGTGGTTTTCCCCTTGCTTCCCCTGGAATGTTTTCTTAATTTCCAGTTCGGCCTAAATGTACCTCTTAGTGCAAATCGAAGGACCTCCTTCCGCTGCTCCCAGGCTGCCCAGTGTCCCGCGGCATCTTTTGGCACCCTGTGTTGGGTTTCAGGGGAGTGGCGGAGGGGGCAGGAAGGTGAGGCTGGACAGATTTTGGCCTTCCTGGCCCCCCCACCTGTCCGGTACCATCGAGCTGAAGGGGGTCTGTAGACGTCTTCGCGGGTCTGGATTCGGACTCCCGCCGTTCAGAGCGGTCAGCTCGCGAGGAGTTCCCAAAATGCGCCGTTGCTGGTTCCCTAGCCGCCCCCTCCCATTTCGCCTTTGGTGTGGAGAGTTAATTCACAGGGTGGAGAGAACGTGCTTCATATCAGCAGGGAAGGAACCGACTGTAAAAGGCCCGGTTGGTTGGCCGGAAAGCGGGAAGTTTTGCTAGCCCCTGGTTGTCCGAGAACCTCCGCCCTCGGGGCGCAAATCCGCTTTCCCCGTCCCTAGGAACTGAAAGCATTTTTCCCATCCCTTCCTCTCTCTGCCGGCTGCTGAAATTTGGGGCTCTCTCCTTCCCCTGCCCTGGCACAAATCCTTTGGCACGGGGCCTGGATGGGGCTCTCCCCTGGCATAAACCTGGCATTGCCGGGGCCTGCCTGTTCTCCCCCCCCTTCCTGCCCCAGATCCGTCCAGCAGGGCCGGTGCTGGGGGGAGCCCGGGAGGGTCCGCGCTGGCTGGGCGGCGAGGCGAGGGGGGCGGGCTCGGCTCGGTTGGGGAGAAAGTTTTTGACATTCCCTCCAGCCGTCCTTTTTACGGTGCAGCCCGATTGGGGAATGCAAATGCCCCATTCCTGCCCCGCAACCAATGACGTGCGGGAGGGGGAGGAGCATGCCATTGACAGAAGGAGCACCTTGGTGTTTACTCCTCGCATCAATGTGGGCAGCCCTAGACTGTGCTGGAGGGGAGGGGCTGAGCGTGTCGGGGAGGGGGGACGGGGAGGAGGAGGAGGAGGAGGGGGCTGTCAGTGAGGATGGGCTATAAGAGAAGGCAGCGAGG